CGTTGAACCTTCATGAAGTTGGTGAAGCAAACTGATTTTGGCGTCTAGAAAATAAAGTATAGCTTAAATCGAACTGGAAAGTATAGAATAATATTCAAGTATAGGAGAACCTGTGTTACTGCAATAGAAAGTCCACCAATTAAGTATAACTAACTTAATTTCAATACACAAATTAAGTTATCTATTAACAAAAAATCAATCATTCTAAAAAAGCGTGGGGTGCTTGATGTCAATAAATGTAAGAATTATTTTTTGAGTGGCTATTTACAAATTATTTCTTAGTGGCTATTTACAAATGTGCAGTTATTATGAAATTTTTTTTACTATAATTGATTTTCTCTGTTAATATCTTAAATTTGATATTCATCTTATTCCAAAGTATTTTACCATACTTGATTGTTGACTTTCTATTGCAGTAACACTACCTCTCCTGTACTTGGAAAGTCTCAAAACAACAACAAATGTACTTATAATCAAAAACGGTCGACCCTTCTACAAGTCTGATAGAAAGGTCAGGCTCTCATACAGGATGGTGTGCCGGTTCCCTGAGGTCGAAGCTAGCGACATGACATTTTTGATCATCCTCTTGCCATTCGTCCCTCGGCACGTTTCTCACCTTATATTGGATTGGGCGAATTTAAATTTTCTAATTTGTTACAAAATTATTATTTTCCAAATTTTACATTTTTTCAATTTTTAAATTCAAATTTCTTTCAAAATTTCTATAATTTTTCTCAATTTACGAATTTTCCGAAAGTTTTCTAAATTTTTTAATGAACATATTTTCCAGATTTCAAAATTCGATTTTTTTTTAATTTTCAGTTTCGATTTTTTTTCTAGATTATTGTATTGTCATCGGCCCTTGGCCCTCATGCAAATTTTCAAGTTAATTAGACTTCTTGAAATTGGTGAAAATTAGGTTGAAAGATTCCGTTACATGCACACAGGAAAAGCTAATAATAAAAGCGTGTTAAAAACGGTGAGCATTGACCTTAGTACTGATTTACTAACAATAATTTTCCATTACAACAAATTTTTCCTGCGAAGACGCTTGTTAGGGTGGAAAAGTTTGCAATTTGTTCATGGACGCCCGCCAGGAAATGCCACGGGGGGCCAAGGGCTGTAGAGAAATCTGATAATGCTGAATACAGACTACAGAGTGTTGAGCGATTTACGTATGCCTAATTATGAAAATTGAAATAACGGAAGATGAATAGTAGGGAATTATGTGATAAAGCTTAATTTCTATAATTTATATGGTTTAATAATTGCAATTATAGAAACATTTATAATAGTAAAGACATTATGAATTTGTTATAATTTTTCTAACATAAAACAAATTCTAGCAGCAGTAATGTTTCTTTTCAAAATTATAATTTTTCGTTGTTTTGTACATAAATTTACATTAAGAAGAATCGTGCGGTTGATTTCGGTTAGCTTTGTGGCCGCGTAATACCAGTAACCGACCATGATTTTGATAAAATTTGTGAAAGACGATCTCGTTTGGAGCCATAGTGAATATCACTCTATTTTTGGACCAAACGCGATTCAAGAGAAAGAGGAATAAAGCATGAATCTAAAACTTTTTAACTCACCTCTAAACATTTGAGTATTTTTTCGAGTCCCGTTTTCAGAATTCGAGATATTTACTAACAGGCTAGAAATACTGACATGGAACAAAAAATAATAAATTGGATATAATCCACCCAGCCTACGTTCCAAAATCAAGAAGGGGCTCCAGGGGGTGTGCCCCCTGAGAAGCTTTGCTACCCCCCGTTGTTCAAGCTCTTCCATTTTTATGGAAGGTACACTTTCCTGCGGGCGCCCAAAAATATGTTGCGAGCAAACATGCACCAAATGACTGCAGCGCACAGCATGCCTTAACATAAGCAGCGGAAATTTCAGTATACATTAGACCATGGACTTTTCTGATTTCTTGGATAATTCTGAACAGGAAAGATCATAAGTAACTTTTCCCTACAGTTAGTCGTGTTCGATTTAATGTCTGAAAAACCCTAAAAATGGTCGTCCTCAACGATATGGGTTTGCTCATACAGTGGTCGGTGACTGTGTCTGAGATCCGGCCGTGTAAATTCCATCTATATAGCGTAGCAGAATGAATAGAATTTGTGTGGCGGGATTTTGGACACGATCACTGACAGGTTAGCGACAGCTGTACGAACAGGGCTTAAAAGCTCAGTTAAAATCATTATTTTTGAGGTGGCCAAGTATCTAAATTAACGCTAAAGTCCTTCCCTACAAGACACTAAAGATTATTTTAAGATCAATTCATTTTAAAATAATTTTTGAGCTCGTTTGTTGACGAACTTTTAATTTTCGCAGACACCTTCATTAAATTGAAGCCGAAACCAATGATTTGTTTACAGCAAACTGTATCGGCAGTCAACTTTTAAAATATACTGGGCGTCCCAAAAGTGTCCTTATCCAATTGCGCGCCCTTTCTGAGTTATCGTCATTTTGAAGAATTTGTAGAACATCGCTATTTCGTCGATTCTCGGCTTTCCTATTCTTATTAGTCTTCTAGGCATTTCTTGAGTACGATAGACCGCAAAATTTCTCTATCGGGATATCGATTTCGATATTCTTCAGCAGCAAGTCGAGCACTCCCATTGCAGAATCCATGAATAAAGAGCATTTCTACTTAAATAATCTTGCGATGAGTACAGCATCTTGATTAGAAAGCGCACTGTGTACGGCATTATCTTCGAAACCCTTTTACAGTATGGACGTTAGTTAATAACCTAGGGTAATAATAATCATATACATGCTATACTTTAAAAGGCTATAATATCAGGAAGACTTTTCTAAGTAGGGGTAGTTTATCTGTCTACTAATTTTTCCTACAGGCATACTTGAATATGCTGTAACATTGAGCCACAAAGCCGAACCCCTGAATACACTCTTGATCTTTATAACCATGCAATGTTTCATAAGTAAATAGAGCCGACCGACTAAAAATCAAGAGGCAAACGCCTAGTTAATTTCCGTGCCAAATACTTGAGACGTTTCCTGGTTAACTTTAGAACATGTGTTTATAGATTATTATTATCTATGGATACGAAATTAGATCGACCCAAAAGCTTTTCATAGACATAGGAATATTCCTATTAAGAGTGTCTTATGTTGGTTTAGATATACGAGTTGGAGCCGGAAGATCATTGAAATAAAAATCCGATGGAGCAGTTGAATATGCTGTAACATTTAATGGAAAATGATGGTTTTAAACCTTAAATGCTTGTAGTAATTTTTTTGCTATATGACAAAATTTAAAAATAATTTACATTTTTGTTTGGAAACCTACTAGAAACAAGAAAGAAATGTCGACAAGCAGAACCTGTTTCTTGTTTCGTATCTAAATATACGTAAGGTACTCCAATTAAAAAAAGCCTGTCTAATTTGTTGCTTCGGTAAAGTCGCTGGATAGCTCGACAAAAAATACCATTAGCCCCGAAAAAATAACATCTAAATTTTTTTTTAATGTCAAGAATATATATATAATAATACCTTTGTAACACCCTTTGATACAATTTTTTCTACAGCATTGTTTATTTTTGGCTAGTTAACTCTGTTCAAATAAGTTTTGTGATGCTTTCAGGTAACACACACTGAGAACAAAATTTGTCTGACGGCTTGAGTTCAGTGTGTACGACAGATAAGTGTATATAGACACATATGTTAGAAAGAGTTAGAAGCCGACTGGATACCGAAGCTCATTACCGCGTTGCCTAGCAACGCTGATGCGGCAGTTTGTCGCGTTGCCAACATGTTAAACCCGTTCCTTGAATTAAGAAACATGTTGAAAATATGCGTTAGTTTATTCTCTACGCCCAAATAATGGTTTTATTTCGAATGTAAAAATTTTTGGACTGTGAATGGTGTCGAATCTGTTTAGAATCGGTTCCGGATCGCTCCTAACGGCGCTCCATTTTAGAACGAAATGAAAGGTCGCGATCGCCACAAATTCTGCACATTGCATGATTGGTTCGCTTGGCAACAGCGCATCTCGTACATTCCAAGGCAAGGTTTCCACCTCCACGATCATAGATGAGCGACACCCATCATTGGGGAGTGTCGTCCTGTTTCGAAATAATTTGTATTCCGTAATGGTATTTTGTTACATTTTCCGATCGCTCCTTATCGCAATTACCCAGGATGTGTTGATTTTATCGCCATAGGTGGAAATCAAAGCTAATTCTACCGTAAATTGCAACTCGCAAGTCGCATCAAAATTGAAATAAACAAATCTGACAAAACATTAAGTTAAATGTTCGGCCAGACCTCCTTCTTGGGTTTGTCATTAACCTAACCTATTGTAGAAGCCAGTGCGAACATTTTCTGGTGTAACATATTGGCAACGCGCTGGTTTGCGCAACCTTCTACGTCACCACTGCTAGCCAATGTGGTGATGACCTTCGCTCTTCAGGCGACTTGTGTATCTTTCTAACATGATGTGTTGATACACACTTCTCTCTCGTGCACATTTAACTCAAGTGGTCAGATAAATTTGTGTTTCTCAGTATATAGTATTGCAATAGCATTGTTTCCCGATTTTTCAAGCAATTTCCAACGATCGTGAAAAAATATACAATAAGGTTTGAAAAAGGGTGATGTAGATTGACTCAGTACTTCTTACACGCTTTTCATTTACACAAATACTGTTTATTTCAATTTGAAAACTGGTTTTCGCTATATTATACATTTTTTTAATGCTTTAAAAAACTCTTGGCTATGCCTTAAAGTATAAAGAATAGGTGAATTCTCAGTTTTAAATTAGGCATCAATAATACCCATAAACATTTTGTTGAGAAGTCGATAGCTTGGCGCACATAAATGGTAGATGTAAACTGATACATCTGGCAACGCTGAAATGAGTATCTCATTGGTCCATCTCTCTACCTCAAAAATGACAACTCGGCACCTACCCTAACCTTATTTTATAATTTTATTTATCAGTAAAAAGGGTTCGGATTTTTTCACAGGTATTTTTATCCATTTTCCAAATAGCGAAATAGAGATGTCTACGGGTGTGGCGGACTCAAAAAACAAGTATTCCATATTACTTCCAACTTACAATGAAGTGGAAAATCTACCCATTATAGTATATCTTATCATAAAATATATGAGTAAAAGGTGAGTGGATATATAATTTTAATTACATACTGAGTAAATCTGTCATTCATTAAGAATAAGTAAACATACATCAATATTCACAAAAATTTACAAATTATTCTACATTTTTAACAGACCACCTACTGGAATTCCTGTCCAAAGTATTTCAGCCAAATAAATATCAAACATATATGTAAGAACTGAGTGTAAGATACATATCAAGCAACAAGGCTGATAAGAGAGTTTTCCACCTTCTCCCTACTACTTTTACTTTGGAACATTTTTTGAGGAGCAAAAGGAAATGCACATCACACCATTTTTCTGCTAGATGACTGGGTTATGCCTACATCTTTGTTCTGCACTCAGTCATGATTTTCCATTGTATAGTGTGTCAGACATTTGATTCACACATAATCTCACCTCACTTCAGCTCATTGAATATTCCTTTTACCGAATCTCAGTTTCTCACTTCACTCGCAAACCAAATGCATGAGGTCAACACCTGATCAAGAAGTGACATCTTTGTAAGTCTACACCATTGGCAATAATGATGTAGAAACAGTTAATGTAGTTTAGTTAAAACCTCTTCAATATTCTCTTACCTGACTTCAAATAGAGTAATGATTATAGACAGCTATATTACTTGTATCTCTTTCCTTTTGTACATACAAGCATTGTTAGAAAGTATGAATCCTTTCTTATCATATCTTTGCTTTGTGACACGCTTGTTCTATCATTATTCAATTACTGTGACTCAGTTTATGGGCCTTGTATAACAAGGTATGATGTTGATTGTATACAGCGTGACCAAAACTCTTGTCTTAGGTTTATTTTTGGAGTGAAAAAATTCGAACATTTTATAAGTTACCTGTAATAGGATGGCTAAATATGGAAGCTAGGAGAAATTTGCACTCTGCAGTTTTGTTTCATAAAATTATTCCATATAAAACTCCACCTTGTTTATATAATAAGATTACATTTCAAAGTGATGTTCACAATATCAATGTTCGGTATCGGAAGCTGATTTCCCAACCATGGCATCGTACATCTATGTTTATTTCTATTAGATGAATTGTAGTGTTTATATTGTTCCTCTTCATTTTATATTTTAAATGTTTTTTTTTTTTGTTAAATCTGCCTAAAATGATTTGAAATTTTTCGTTAAATTATATTTTTTATATAATACCTTTAGATAAATATTTTTTTTTGACGTTTGTAATTATTATCTATTAATTATTAATATTAACTTATATAATTTGGTTAAGAACTCCTCTGTTGTAATTTTGTTTGTTGGGGTAGTACTTTGATCAGCTCGTCTATTTACTAGTCCCTTTTGCAGAGAATTCATGTTGTTTCCTTTTCCTTCCCTTTTTTTTGCTCTGCAAATAACCGCTATTATTATTATTACTCTATAGCATACAAAATATGATTGTGTCTACAAATCTGGCATTACAGTTCCATCAGAATTGTATGTCACTTGTTGATATGGGATATTTTAGAATAGGGTCATCTACCAAACGTGAAAATAATGGTGATCAATATGCTTTTAGATTCTGAAGAATTTGCTTACAATCCAAATAACCCTGTCATTGTTAATAGCTGAACATAAATCCTACAATGATTGTTTTGTGCATTTATATCTGATATCTTTAACTTTTAATTTCTTATCTCTCTTTGGTAGAATAATGTTTTAACAAGTTTATCTAAGACATAGTGTAATAAATTAGTTGATATGCATTCGTAAAAGGAAAAAAATGCGAGCAGCATTTCCTAGATATGGCAGGTTCAAGGATACAGGCAGACATATGAGTGATTCAGGATCACAAAAAACATCACACAAACAAATCTCATTTTAAATATTTTACATTATATTGCTTCCTAGCCAGTGCAGTGGTGTGGAAAGTAAATCCAGCAAATGTAGACCTTAGACCCAGTAGTTGAGTAATGCACAAGAAAGTCACAGTCTTAAATATTTTAGTGTCTACGATTTTGAAATTATTGTGATTGATGATGGCAGTCCAGATGGCACATTGGAAGCAGCACAACAACTACAAAAGATTTATGGTGAGGACAAGATAGTATTAAGGCCAAGAGAGAAAAAGTTAGGTCTAGGCACAGCTTATATCCATGGTATTCAACATGCTACTGGAAACTTCATTATCATTATGGATGCAGACTTGAGTCATCATGTAAGTATGAAGTATTGCAATGAAAAAGTAAGGAATAGTGTTCACGTAAAAGCTCTGCAGGTATTAGCTGGGTTTACCTATTCAACTTCATCACTCTTCTTATCTCATTTGCCCATTTGATAGAATCCACTGCATAGTTTGTGTTTTCTTACATTTCATGTCATGTATTCAGACGACTTGACTGCTTAATGTCACAATTACTTCCATTGAGATATAGCACACACATTGCAAAATCTGGCTGTTCATTTAGCCATTGTTGCCATAACAGCTAATGATGTTCCATAGCACGTGTTTCTAGTAGTAAAACAAAGTTGAGGACAACAGTTTCACTTGCCATTTGAGTTGTTTTGCTAAATAACTATGTCAGATTTATAATTAATGTGATAATCCTTCTCAATTCCAGCCTAAAGCTATTGCAGAGTTCATCAAAAAACAAAAGGAAAAGGATTATGACATTGTATCAGGGACAAGATACATAGGAGCAGGTGGAGTATATGGTTGGGATTTCAAGAGGAAACTTGTTTCAAGAGGTGCTAATTTTCTTACACAACTCTTGCTGAGACCTGGGGCTTCAGACTTGACAGGCTCATTTAGGTTGTATAAAAAAGATGTTTTAGAGAAACTTATCAAGAGTTGTGTTTCCAAAGGGTATGTTTTTCAAATGGAAATGATAATCAGAGCAAGGCAGTTAAATTATACAATAGGTGAAGTACCTATAACCTTTGTGGACAGGTTATATGGGGAGTCGAAGTTAGGAGGTACAGAGATTATACAGTTTGTAAGAGCTCTTTTGTATCTGTTTGCCACCACATAATTTGCTTTTAACATTCATATTTTGCCTTTATTTGTTGTAGGAAATATTTGTATCTGTAAAATACATTGAACATTGAAACATTTGTTTATTTATATAAATGGTCTATTTCATTTTTATTTACATTGCATTATATGATTTAATATTATCATAACGACAGTGATGTCCGATGTTACTCCCACTAGGCGGTGGTGCTTGAGGTTTAAAGCTGTCAAACATAGATGGGGAAAAAAGATTCGATAGACACGTAATGGGAGAAAGATTTGACAGAAAAATAACATATTGTTCACGTTTTTACGTCTATTGACGTAAATAGCTGATCAGTAGTTGACATGTTATAGATTACGAAATAAGATAATGATGCTGTCTTATAGAATTTATAAGCAGACATTAAGATATAAAATTATGTAAATACATATAATGATAATACTATTTAATATAAATAATACATTTTCATAAATACCTAAAGCTACTATTTACAAAGTCATTATACAACCTTCACATTTACTGCTGCCGTTTTCTGTTTATCTACAACTTGCAGTATATTAACAGTAGTAGTATTGATAATAAAATTATGTTTACAAACTGGTGCTCTTGCACATTCCATATGTCAAGTCTTAAAATTAAATAAAAGTTCTATTTACTTCTTTTACGTTCTGTTTATGTACATACACCTCAGTCCCCAGGCTGTAAAAATCCAAATCATTTCATCAGGATCTCCCGACTTTTAATGAAATGCACGAACCAGAGTGATTTCTTGAAAAATTGTTGAAAAAAAGGTTCACCAAAGGGAGAGCAGGCATTAGGAACACTCCTCTTCAGTGGTTCGGTGAGTCGGAGTTATGTGAGCTACTCGGAAACGCTTAGCATAGATCCTCAAAGCAGAGAGTAATTATATGAAGAGAGAAGGCGAATAAAATTAGAGAGAGATAAAAGCGGACTCCACAAACATGGCGTCCCGAAAACAGCAGATGGCGTCAAATCGGAGATAAATGTGGTGTTGCCAGATAGATCATTCTTTTTGGATGAATTTATTGACCATCAGTTGTAGTGAATGCATTTTTTCTTGAACTCCACTTTTGTTTGAACATTCATTCATGGTGGGGATGTTTATCATCCATTTGCAGCATACGGAATATATTTATCAAGTTATAAATCACGTTTTTCGCGAGAGAAACTTTAGTAACAAAAAATCACGCCAGCTTGAGATTCTAGTTTTCTAACCTCAAATTGCTTATTTGACTAATCGTCGATATATTTGAAATGATCGCTAGTTATCTAGCCAGTTTGGCCTTAAGGCGAGTATTTATATCCTATGAATTTTTGACGTAACCAACAATAGCGTGAAAAGAGCTGAACTGCGTTTACCGTAGCGTTTTATAAATTATGGCAGTTTGGCAACACCGTCTCGGTACATTCAGAGCCCTCTATACGCAAACCGCCAAGCTAAGGACGATCCACACACAGATCGCTGTTTTTATTTGCAAACCAGTAAAGTCCACGAGCTGACCACAAAGTTTTGGTTACATCGCATACTAATATCGAATGTTAAAAACTCATCAAATCCTATGTATTTTGGTGCTCAACAGCAAACTCGGCAAGTTTGCTGTTTAGCATAAAAATATGTAAGATATCGAATCAACGATCGGCTTCCCTACTGAATAATGCAGATGACCCCCAAGATCGATGGGGCCGACCGGCGGATTATAAAAAAATTCCGCGAAGTGTCTTCTCTTGATATAACTACTTTTTGCTTAAGAGGTTATTTTTAACACGACTGTGATCATGGAAATCGTAAATAAACATCTAACTAGAGTCTAGGATTGATCATTTTCTTGGAAAATACGTTAATCAATGGCCAATTGTATGAAAAAACACATATGTTTAACGTTTGTCTGTCTCCATAAATCCAACATTAGATGAGGTAACTTCTTAGCAAATGAATCCCCGATAAAATATGAAGTTAAGGTCAAGCAATAAAGTCATTCATTCTTAGGCACAATATTTTAAAATGCTAAAATAAATACAAATAGATGCACTCCAAAGTCAGTTCTTGTGAGTCTTCAGATGCCTCACTAAGTGCGCCTTTTGTGAAAATCTTTTGTGGCAATACTCGCAAAGGTATGCTTTTTCGCCGGTATGAACCAACATATGCTGGTACAGTTGACCTTTCGTGGAAAATGCCTTAGTACATTGATCACAGTGATAGTCCTTTACTCCAGTGTGGATCTTCGTGTGGGTATTCAGATTACTAGAACTAGCAAACCTGTATGGGAACATAGTGAGAAGTCGTCAAATTAGTTACGTGATTCATTATACCCGTTTTACAGACAGCAAGACAAATGTCGACCAGACGGGCGCGCACTAAGAAAACAGCGATTGAAACTAGTTTTTGGATATTGATGTGTTTTGAATGGTAAAATATCGAAACCAAAATAATAGGCTAGGAATGTGACAGGGAACACTTCATTAGTTTAGATTTTCTAACTTCACCCATTTTAATCGACGAAACAGGGGGCCGTCTTACAACTGCAAGTGGTTGGATACAACTGTCTTGCAGACAAAGCAATACCATCTTGCAACTGCAAGAGCTTGCATGCATTCGTCTTGCGGACTGTAAAACGGTTATTATTGATAGATCCATTAATTGGTAGAATCTTGGAATATTGTACAATAATCAATGTCAGTATACGTTTCAAATTCGACTCTCACCATTGAGTCTCGGAGTAAGAGAAAAGATGATCAGTCAAAGAATGCATACCGTTTATGACAATATGTGCACCCGTAAGGTCGCTCCGATGTATGTATTGCGATTGTGTGTTTGGTCAGTTGCTGAGCAGTAGCAAAAGCCTTACTACATGCGGCACACACGTGGTTTTTTTCACCAGTATGCGTACGCATGTGCGTGTGCAAATGACCTCCGTTTATAAATCGTTTTTCGCACAAGTGACAAACATATGGCCGCTCGCCTAAAAAGCAACAGGATAATCAGACATACTATCAGCTGAAAAAAAATATATAATAGGGTTGGGCTAATTGTTGCATATTAGCAGTGTTGCCGAAACTACCGCTTTTTCGATATTTCCACCGAAATGAGACATTTACGAAAAACTGAATAGGTCCCATTTTCCACGAGTTTTTAAAATATATCAGATATTCCATATTTGTTATTCAAAAGAGCTGTAACCAAAGATAAAGCTAAGCAAATAAGTCCTATGCAGTTTTATGCCCTAATCAAAAGCAACCAGCTGCATGAGCAACATAGATTTGGGTTTCCTATAATTATGTACGCATAACTGTCACTCCGCTTCCTGCACTTCTATCGTATCTATCTTAATTCATTGAAAATTAAATTAAAATAACAAGCGATGAAGTGTCAGTTTCAGGGGTAAACAAAAAACATTCATAATCCTATAAACAAGAATGAGAACAGAAGTTTCCAGGATCTTTGCAAAGGAGTTTGAAGAGCGACCAGTATGGTCATCATACAAATTTTAAAACTAAAAATAGTAGCCTAAAGTTAAATTATATATTTTATGTGTCAAGGCAAACAAAGGACATGATTTTGATATATATGTGTACTTGCTACTTCGAAAGTTTAAAAAAAATAATAGATAAATTAGTTTGTAAGTCCTTACATGTACATTGTATATACATAATGTGGTCAATAAATGGTATGGTATAATTGTTCAGAAATATACCATATTCTGAATTTTTCTGCCTACTGATATTGTCATCGAATCTTCCAAATTTAAACAACACTATCGCCCGTGTTGCGATTATCGGGTCGGCAAATCTGCTTATTAGGCACTATTTTACCATATGGATTAAACTGAGATCAGTAATGGTAAATTAAATGTAACCAATGACTGTTCAATGTTACTGGACGTGAGACTGGAACTAGCTAAAATCTAAATATGAAAATGCATTTTACCATAATGGGATGGATGTGAGAGAAAACCAACAAAAATCTATTAACTGAAAGAATGTAAATGGAACAAGAAACAAGAAGTGTTATTTAATCACAGAGAAAAGTCTATTTCTGTGCATGTCACAATTGAATGTTGTGTAAGGTTCCAAAACTTATTACTACCATATGTCAACTAGTGCTTGGTTATAAGCTTACCTGTATGAATACGAATATGATGCACAAGACTTGGTTTTGTGCGAAATATTTTACCACACGTGTCGCATTGATGCTGTTTCATGGGTTTTTTGTTGTTAACTGTAACATCTTTTTGTAGATTTTCATCAGTGGTGATTGTAATGCTTTCTATCTAAAGGTTAACATACAAAAATTAGAAATATTGTGTATCTACGTAATATTTAGGGTGTTTCAACTCTCACTAATAGGATCCCAGAAACAGTAACGTATACAAAGTAATTTAAATGTTGATAAAGCTGCATATTTAGGTAACTAAAAAAAAAATTTAAAGTTTTGCAGTTCAGAGAATCTATAGTTTTAATTCTTTTCTGACTTTAAGATGGGATTTTAAAGTAACACGCACATTCACATTACCCTTTTTCCTCATCTACTTGGAGGTATAATTAGAATCTCAGTAAGGCATTTTTTCTGTCTTCAATCAAATTTCTTATGGATGCAATATTGAATTTTTGTACATGTGTATATATTTTTTACCTCAAATTTCAGAAATGTAAAGATTAGTATTTCGTAAATAGGCCTTGAAATTATCAGTTAGCTTCATATCATAAACCAACAATTCCTTCATTTTTTAACAAAGTTAATGATTGCAGACTAAAAAGGAAATGCAATATTGAAATTCTAATTATGCAAGCCTATTGTAGGGGAGACACTGGTTGGTTGCAAATTCCATCTAATATAAGGATAAAATAAAAAAAAACATTTTGCAAGAATACCTTTAGCCAAACATGCAACTTTTCCCTCATGTAACTGACTTCATATCTTTTACTATTTTGAAGATCAATGGTGAGAGCCAAATTGAAAGCTCTCAGTATAAGAATAATATGTATTATTCCATCCAATAACAATATGCTACACCTTAAGATATAATACATTTGCCTCATACATTTGTGTCCACTTTTCTTGGTCATGCAAGAATGAAAATTTCACCTTGATCAAACCACTTTAAAAAAGATGAATGTTATAATATAGTTTATAAAAACCTAAAAAATACCTTTAATGGCTCCTCTGGGTTCAAATCACTGAATGCAGGCTTTAATTCAGAGACACTGTTTTTATGAATCTCATACAATGATGAATTTGGCTCCAACTGCACAGTATGCAAAATTTGAATCCCACTTGCCTCATCAATCTGCTCTGTTGTATCTATTGTCAGTTTGCCATCCAAATTTGTTGTGCCTCTGTCATTGTTTGGATCACAAATCATTTCATCAGTTGAAGACTGCATGTCTTTTTTCATTGTTATGAAACCCGATAAATTGGGGGCAGAGGGCAAGTGTTGAAAGTGTGCAAAACATTGTCGAAGCTTAGCATCTGAGCTTTCACACTGAGTTTTAAACTGGAAGGCAATGTTTAGTTTGGAGATGCACTTCTGGCAAATGTAAGGAGGTAGACCGTCGCCTTGCAATACCTGCGATTCAAATAAATTATTCGATAACGGCACTTTTTGAAAAACAAGTTTGATGTTACCTGCACAGCAGCACAAGCCATGATTAGAATAGAAAAATGAGGTGGCTTTACTGGGTCAAATATTGGCATTAGTTTAGGTCCTTTCTCCAGACATATTCTACATATGTTATTTACGTTTACTGTTAAGTAGTAATTCAATAAATCGTTATTCTGTTGGGGCACATCACTTTTGTTGTTAAAAGTCGCCATGATAAACAAACATTTGTCACGATGACACTGACAGACACCAAACTGACATGTCTGACAGCTATAGAAAGGCGAATTCTTTTTACAAACACTTCTGGTTGACAGTTGACATAGAAATAACAATTTGTTGACAGTGGTAACAAACGGATCTGAAAATGACGTAATTAATGACCTGTTTGCGATAGTGTCGGGTGGCCGAATTTTGATTAACGTATTCAGCTGGCTTATCCAGCTTTACAAATTCTGACAACAGCGTTGAATAAGGAAAATGTAACTTTACGAAATAAGCCTTCGCCTTTCTTCGTAACCAACGGAGCTTTGTTATTTCGATGAAGTATAACGGAGGATTGTTTCGCTATTTCATCATTTTGTGTAATTGTAGTACGAATAGAGCTACGGCTTTCACTGTAAGCAGATTTTACCTTTTAAAAGTGTCTTTACACGAGTCTCTTCGGTTAATATTGAAGATCAACCTAATAGCTCTTTTGCAGCGCGAAACCTTTGTTTAACATACTTGCCTGTCACCACAACATTGTATTGCTACTAATATGTTGATATATTGGTTAAAAGTGTCGGTGTTGTCATATTATGTTTCAATTTGAATATCGCAAAATATGACTAATTGTGATTTTTTGCAAATGTGATTTATGTGCAACCAAGTAAAACTTGCATCTATATGCGCACCAAGAAAAACGTCCTTATCCTAGAAAAGACCATGTTGGATGTGTGGCCTACCATTATAGAACTGCACATACATAATATACTGATTTATTGTTATTCAGTATAAGACGCTTTTTTGGCACAACGCCTTCAACTGAGACGGTCTCCACTGCATCATCAGTGAACCAGCACGCAGCGCGGGTATCATGTATCTTGAAAAGTGACATTAAGCCGATTTTTTTTTGACATTATGCTGGTTTTTAAGACATTATGTAGGTTTTTCTACAAGATATGAACTTAGCACTTAGTTGTACGTGTTGAATAAACGTCATGAGGCTTGTTATCAATCTTTGGCTCTGATGTGATCTAAAATCTGCTTCTGAGATGGCATTACTGGAGGTATAAGCTGTAAGTTGTATGTGTTGATAATTACATTGGGTTCTTGTCTCAAATGCACTTAATTGAGATTCAAAGCTAGAAATTAGTTGCGCATCCATCCAGGAAATTACATATACAAATTTGCTGAATTTAAAAAATGAGAGATAAATAATTATATTCACTGTACACTGTCGAATTACAAGCCATATACATGCTAACAGTTATTACACACAATGTGGGCGCAGAGATGATTTCCCGTAATTCTCCTCAGTTTTTCGTAATTGATAACTTTGAACATAACCTCTCTTCAGAAAGCACAACATAAAAATAACCCGTCGAGCACAGCCAATAGATATACTTCATTGGCACCATATTCAGTAATGATTTTCTGACACAGCAGATATCACTGATTTTATACAGATGAAGAACAATACACATAATCATCCAGATGCTATTCAACATGTATTCTCTGTATTCTCAGAGATAAAAACTACAGACAAGGACCACTTGGCTTCACAAAACATATGTAACCAATAGTTCGTGTAGTTTAGTTGCGTGATTCCTCCTTAGATGGACGTTCACAACGATCCTAGTGAGCAAACGTGGAATTACTGTTTGCGGCCTAAAAACTACAACTATTTAAAACTGTAATGACTCATACGCGTGATCAACACGTGATCAGAGCTCGATCCCGGCTTCCTTCCAGTACAGCCGTATAGCGTACGACATATGTCGTTTCTGTGGCACGAGTGGAAGTACTGAAAGCCAGGGAACAAGTAGACGGCTTCGTAAAGCACTGAAGAGGGACGCGAAAGAAATCGTGCTCAACGTGTTCAATTATCTGAACAGAACTATGTCGCAGGTAGATGCACTCGCGCGTTGTGAAAGTATGACAGGCGTTCCAGAGTGGACCATTCACAGGGTGGTGCATGAAAAGAAGAAAACTGGAGCTACTACTGATCCAAAGTTTAATTTGAAAGGACGAAAGGCCGTTAAATTGGATGACGATAGCAAAATGGCGTTAAGGTGAACCGTACATTCATTCTTCTTTAGGAATGAGATACCAACCCTCAAGGCTGTACATGCAGCGATCAAGGAAAATGAAATTATACCCCAAATGAGCGTCGAGGTAATGAGGAAATCCCTGTACGAAATTAATTTTCGTTACGTAACGCGTAATCGGAAGTCAGTATTGATAGAGAGACCTGAAATAGTCACCTGGCGTCGAAAATACCTACGCGAAATGATTGAATATAGGCGACAAAGCAGAAAAATCTATTATTTGGACGAGACATGGGTAAATGCAGGTCACACAGTTAAAAAAACATGGATAGACAAAAACGTAGTGAGTAACCGACAAGCAAGCATTGAGGGTTTGTCAACAGGTCTTCGTGGACCGTCAGGTCAAAGATTGATCGTAACTCATATTGGTAGCGATAGTGGCTTTTTAGAAGAGTGTGACTTGATTTTCGTCTCTAAGAATGGAGGTGATTACCATGACGAAATGAATGCCAGCTGCTTCGAGAGCTGGTTTCAAGGGGTGCTTCAGCGAGTTGAGCCCAACTCTGTGATCGTCATGGATAATGCTTCCTACCATAGTCGTCGAGCCGAACGTGTACCGACTATGGGATCTCGAAAAAGTGACATGCAGCAATGGTTGCGTGAAAAAGGAATCCCGTTTGACGATTCATGTGTGAAAGCGGAATTGCATGAAAAAATCAAACAGCACAAACCTGCGAACATTAGTTACGTGACTGATGAGATGGCCCGTCAATGTGGTGTCACTGTGCTGCGGTTACCGCCCTACCACTGTGAACTGTACCCAATAGAGCTCATCTGGGCTCAAGTGAAGGTTTATATTGCGCGCCATAACACAACCTTCAAATTACCAGACGTTAAGGTTTTACTTGGGACTTCCATACAGCTAGTAACGCCCGAAGCTTGGCAGAATGCTATCCGTCATGTTGTGAAGGAAGAAACAAAAATGTGGCAGCTTGACCACCACATCGACACCATCATAGAGCCAGTTATAGTCAATTTCAACGAGGAAAGCGATAGCGACAGTTGTAAGATGGAAGCGACGATGAATAAAGATAATTTCCAAATTTTTGACTTACAATATGTTTCAAACCACTCTTTATTAAGCATGTGACAAATCTAGTTCACCCATGTTAAACATTCATACCCCGCCTATGAACAGCCGACTACTGGTAGTTAAGTGATGTTCACGTGAACATCGATGAGTCATTACAGTTTTAGATAGTTATAGTATAGTTTGCAAGATGACATCTTATAGGTTTTTTACGTTTTATAGGTTTTCTTACAAGATACCCATGCAGGTGACAACAACAGATGTGTCATCTGCGTATTGGATCTTATGGCCAGATAGTTTCAAGTCGTTAATATGTACAATGAAGAGTAATAGTACCAGGACTGATCCCCGTGCAGCTCCTAAATGGACATTGTATGCGGCTGAGCAGCGACCACTGACTTTTGTCATGAGTTTTCTGTTTGAAAAGAACAAGACCATAAATATCGAACTTTTATATATCTGTGCATCTCTACACCGAATAAACATATGGCAACAATGCGTGCGGTGTGAGATTTTTTGACAGTATATAACGTATGTTTTGTATTTTGATAGTTTCCCGGAAATTGGTATTAACATTTTGGCAGGAGTATTTTGGAAATTGAAAAAGAAAACAATTCGGCAGGGATCTGTTTACAGTCCATCTATCAGCTTTTTCCTGTTGCTCAGTGGTTAACTCCAACAAGAAAAAATATCGTTTCTAGAGCAGTGGAGTTTCGTAGTTTTCCAAAATGGGGAAAATATCGAAAGTTGTGGTATGCGGCATGAAGGGTGTTGGGAAAACGACAATTTTGGAACAAGTTATTTATGGAAATATCACTGAGAAAACGGTAACTAACCCTGTCAGACATTTACAACATATGTGTTTCTTGAGCAACTAAGAGGGACACTTTTGGAATATGCTCAATATTTTTTCTATTAACCTGCTTTGTAATGAAAATAAGAAATTTCAACAACACCTTTTAATTCTCTTTTTATAGGAGCTTCATCCAACAATTGAAGATATTTATGTAGCCAACATTGAGTCAGATAAAGGGACAAAAGAGAAAGTTAGATTTTATGATACTGCTGGTATAGATTATTCCCAGATTTCTACATCTAATGGTACCACAAACCAACAGTTACCAAGACACTACCTTGTATTAGCAGATGGTTATCTGTTAGTGTATGATACAGCTAATAGAAACTCTTTGGATGTGCTGATTTCTTTAAAGAAAGACATAGATAAGAACAAAGATAAAAAGGAGGTAAGTTTCTTTTTACAAACATTAGTTATGTATTTTGCAATGCTGCACCTAGTACTATGTTTTTGAAAAATCTGAGTACTGGGCTCTGGCATTGGCTAACATATTGTACCTGCAAAAAGCCAACCAGCATAAAAAATTATCAGAGATGAAATGATATGTCCTAGCTTCATCTATGAGAATTTGTCACAGCTATGTTTCCCCATCTCCATAATAAAAGATTGGCTACATTACCATCTGTTAGAGACTAATGTTTAAAAGTAGACTTCTCTAATTATTGTGGAGGGAGTAAGAGAGCTGTGATGAATTTTCATAGATGTTACTAGGATATCTCATTCCATGTTGTATAATTTTTTGGATGCTGGAATGGTTCAGGTAGAATATCTTAATCAGTGGTACCAGGTACTTTATAGGGTAATGGGCCCAGTGATCTGCTTCAGGTCATTTCAGCTATATTGTGAGTGATATGATAATATTTGTGTGTGTGTGTTTATACCTACTCCAAATTTACAATTTTACTCATAATTAATACCATTTATTCTCAGGATAATAAGATTCAGTATGCTATCTAAATCAACATTATTATAGTGATTTCATGGTTATAAATACTGAGTCCTAGAAATTGTGTATATACATCAGATAGCCATTAGATAGATTAAATAATTAACAACGCAAAACACAGAACAATTACAAGAATAGTCCATATTTCCAGCATTTTGTATTCATCATCAGACCTTGACTTGTAGTTTTAATTTAAGCCTCTTTTTAAAATTAAATAATGTATAGGTTTGGAATGCAACAGGCAGATCACTATATAATTTAATAGTGTTGTAGCTGAATGATTTTGTAGACAGCCTTAGAATGTAAGGGTATCACTAACATATTTCTATTCCTTGTATTCAGTTGATTTATGTCACTACATGGTGTTAACTTATTATGCAAATATTGTGGTTTTTTGGTAGCTAAGACCTTATGTGTGAGTGTCAATAAGTGAAGTTTTTGCATGCCTTTAATCTGCAGAATACCAAGTTCCTTGAATTTATAAGAAATAATGATGTCATGTGCAAATGTTTATTTCTGGACAAAGCAGCACATCTATAGTTCAAGATGGAAAGAGCAAACCTTTAAAGTAGCAGGGTGCTAATTTTGACATGCAGTGTATATTTATGACATGCAGCAGTTTTCGAAAATTTGTACAGGCACAAAGGACGGATTTTTTGTGAAATGGCTAGTACTCTCCGCCTATTCGGGCGAGAGCGGTGGGGAGAGTACCATTCTACTCGGGCGTTCCTAGTATATTTATCAGTAGACATTATGAAGTAGTGGACGCTTGAGCACCGCGTTCTCGCGTACGACAGTTTTGTCTGACATTATGAGTCTATCACGGCTGTACAGCGTAAGTTTCATCGCCACTTCAATATTCATCGGAATCGAGCTGTTCCTTCTCGAAACACCATCCTTCGTTGGGCTCACACGTGGCGTACTGATCAAGAAAGACCACCAGTAGTTCCACGAACGGTTCGAACCTCTGAAAATATGGAACGCATTCGACAAGCCCTGCTCGGCAACATGCTTCGCCTCAGTGATCGTTCGGTAATGCGTATTTTGCATATGGAACTCACACACTTTCACCCCTACAAATTGGTCATTGGCAACAGTTACACCCTGGAGATTATGCACAACGAATGAATGAGAATGAGAACCTCATTTTGTTCATGAGTGATGAAGGGCACTTTTATCTTAATGGCATGGTTAATCGGCAGAAGTGCCGTTATTGTGCTAATGAAAATTCGCGACAGATATATAAAAGACCGCTGCACACCCCAAAAGTGACCGTTTAGTGCGCTGTATCGCAAACTTGTATCATCGGCCCTTACTTCTCCGAAGACGGTAATGACAATGCTGTTGCCGTGAACTTGGAGCGCCAAGTCGAAAAATAATAAATTTGTTTTTGAGTAAAAATTACCGATTTGGGATTTTTTTAAAAACCGTCCGACCTTTGTGCCGGACCTTGTACAATACTCATATTCTTTTCAGCCATTTTTTCATTTTTTATGTACTAGTGTTAAACCTATTTGTAGATAACAATAGTTGTGATTGGAAACAAAGTGAGTGAAAGTGAAACAGACTCTAATCCAGACTCAGTGATAAATACTGCTATCCCATGGTGCAACAGAGAGAAGATAAAACACTTCACTGTATCTACATTGAAAAGAAATACACTGTATGAACCCTTTGTTCACATTACCAGCAAACTGATACCTCCTACCAACAAAAGTAGCTTTACTCCACTCTCTATGGGCCGAAAGGTTATCAAAGATTCTAGCTAATTCTTTTATTTTGTGTTGTTATGTATCCATTACTATTGGAACAATTTAGGAGGTTTCAGTTAACAGAGAAAATCTGTCTTATTGAAATGAAGGGTTCTTATTGATCTGAGTAACCAATTAGTAAAGTAGACCAACTAGAACTGCCAATACAGGAGTCATCTGTTGTAGTCACTGGCATTTCCTATACATGCACTGTATACTGCAATTACGGGTATATTCAAGTGTTCAATTTGAAACCTTTATTTTATACAGATTATGTTACATAATATGATGGGAGGCATTTCTATGGGCTGTGTTAAAAACATAATTGAGTAAATTTCACAGGCCCACAAAATAAAAAAGTATATACTTGGGTTTTGACTATGTTTTCTCCATCTATTTTTTCAGTATGAAGTCGGAACTTAGAGGTCACTGGTCTAATAAGGAAGTAATTTAGACATTAATATCAGATATTTTGTCATGTTTGGTGGATGTGCATCTCTTTAGAGATCTCTTCAGATTTATATTTAGCGTGAAAAAGTACATGGGAAAAACAGTACTTTCCAGTCCTATTGGCGCTTTCGATCTGTCTGTCGGTCTGTCCGCTAATCTTATAACCGCCTTTAACGTACCGTTCGGATTTCGATGAAATTTTTACAAAATGTTACTCCTATGCCATGAACGCAATCGTACTGTAGTTTTTGAAAATCGGTCAAGTGGCGGCGGAAAAAAATCGCGCTCAAACTTCGTTTTTTGACATTTCAGACGACCAGGTTCATTTTCGGAAAACATTTTCTAGCTGTTAAAAATTTGGGTTAGGGGTTGCAGGGTAGAGTGCGAAATTTTTTGACGTTGGTGGTTGAACTAACCGCAGTAATTCTACGCACATATTTGGCATATTTCACACATTAAAACTCAGAAATACGTGCGACGTCACCCCCAATGGACAAGCGACGTCGTCGGCAGTCGCTTCAACACTAATGTGGCCTGCGTGCACTGTGTGCGTGATGAAGTCCAATATTGTCATTCATGTGGGATAGATCATCGCAACGATCATGTATACCTACAGCAATTCCTTTTAGGGGGAGGAGGAAGGTCATTTCATTTTTGTTATACATGTTCGTGGCTAACTTTTTTCTCGCAATGGCTAACTTGTGCCAAACATAATCCCAGATGATAGCGGGGCGTGTGAAGTATAGTCAACTTATTTAAGGCCTTTTTTATTCCATGGGCCTGTGTTTTTATTTCTTTTTTATTACTAACCAGTTTTTTTGTATCAGTTATTTCTTATTTGTATAATTTAATCCACATAGACCAATGAACTGTCAACAGTGATGGAACAGGCGGAACGCGAATTCATTGCGGCTAGAATGAGAAACGAGAAGGATAGCGCTAGTCAGGGCAAAACATTGGCAAAACATCGTGGTCCATTGTGGCATTTCCATATATGTTCTAAGGATTTTTGGTGAATGTTTGTTTTTAGTGACGTTAAAGATTAATAGTGATAGTTTGCGACAATTATTATAAACATTTTTATGCCGGACAGCTTTCAAGAGCTGTTGTTTTATGTGATATTTGTTTAAAAATGGTTGAATCTTGCAGTGCGGTGAATTGTTGCAATAGACGCAGAAAAGATGTGAAAATGAAGTTTCACAGGTTGGTTTTAATCATCTCTTTGTGTGAGAATTACCTGTTAATTGGTAATTCGAGGAAATATCTGGATTTTTAGGATATCTAGAGATCCTAACATGAGGAAGTTGTGGTTACATGCTATAAGAAGAGAAAACTTTACTCCCAGTACAACAACGGTAATTTGTGAAAAGCATTTCACTCCAGAGGATTATGAAGTTAGTGTTCATGGAAATAAGGTACTAAAAAAGGTGGCAGTTCCATCTGTGTTTGATTTTTCAGCCTATCTCAAGAAAGAACCTAGCCATCAAAGGGTTTTGAAAAGAAAACATGAAGAATCCAACTCAAAAGCAACAGGTATGTTCTTTAAAATATTCCCAGTCTAGGCTTAAGGTTAAAAAAGATATTTACAATGATGAAGTGGGTCTTAGTAACGTAATTATTTTTAGAACAAACTTTGGCTATTGGTGAAGTAGTAGAAGAACCTGAAAATGGTGGTCATGCTGATGATGGAAATATATTGGCAGCTGGTCCATCAAACATAACACAAAAGCTAGGATTTTTAGAATCAAGTGAACCTTCAAACATATGCAATTTTAGGTAATTGTCATTGAACTTTGTGTTTCTCATTTGTTACAACCTCTTTTTGTTTGTAGGGTCAGAAGATCACCATTATACTTTGGGGATTTCAAAATTTCTGATTTAAATAATGTGCAGCGTCAGAAGAGATTTTGGAAAACTGCTCATGAAACTGTTCATAAGTACAAAAAAATTAACAAGTATAATCAGTGTAAAATTCGTAGACAAAGAAATAAAATAAAAAGTCTGAATAGTCTGGTAGATGCACTACTTAAGGAGAAGAGAATATCTGCAGCTCAGTCAATAGTATTACCTGAATTATTAATTACTTATGTTAAATACTAATTATTATATCTTCAAATGTGTAAAGGAGAATTTATTGTCAAGTTTCATACATATGTATATATAAATAAATAAACTTGGTTTTTTAATTATAATTACGTTTCCAGGATTTTATCTCGTTCCAGTTGCCTGATTAACTTTTAAATCTTCTCTAAGAATCCTCGGTTTCCTATGCAATTCATTCAAGTCCGCGCGCCTTTTGCCCTGACT